GATGGAAGTACTCAGGGATTGTCATAATATGAAGGCATATTTCCAAATCTGGAAGAGTAAATACTCTGAGCTGTGTAAGGAGAATTATCTGGTGAAAAACCCCTAGAGAAGTCATCATCAGATTCCGATGAAATTCTTTTCTGAGAGTGATGTTTGTGATGTTAACATAGCAGAGCACGCTCAGCTTGTAAAAATGATGAGTTAAAAGTGGATGAGACTAATAAGGCTCTGTGTTGTGTGTAATGCCCAACAGGTGTTGTCTGTGCCATAGCGGGAGGCAATCTGAGAAGCTGAATCAAGCCTTGGTGCAGAGGGCAGTTGTGCTGCATCAGGCACCTCGGTGGTGGCAGCTGAGGCGCCTGTTAAAGTGATCAGCGCCACACACTCATGCTGCTTCGGCAAAATTGTATCATTGCAAGATGGTGCTGCAGCTAATTTGAAAAATCATGGAAGACGGGAGAGATTCCAGAAGACTGGAAAAGGGGAAATACAGTGCCCTTCTATAAAAAGGGAAATAAGAACAACCTAGGAAACTACAGACCAGTCAGTTTAACTTCTGTGCCAGGAAAGATAATAGAGCAAGTAATTAAGGAATTAATCTGCAAACACCTGGAAGAAAATAGGGTAACAGGTAACAGCCAGCATGGATTTGTAAAGAACAGATTATGTCAAACCAATCTGATAGCTTTCTTTAATAAGTTAATAAGTCTTGTGGATAAGAGAGAAGCAGTGGATGTGGTATACCTAGACTTCAGTAAGGCATATGATACGGTCTCACATGATATTCGTATCAATAAACTAGGCAAATACAACTTAGACGGGGCTACTATAAGGTGGGTGCATAATTGGCTGGATGACAGTTCTGAGAGAGTAGTTATTAATGTTTCTTCACAGTCATTCTAGAAGGGAATAACAAGTGGGGTTTTGCAGGGGTCTCTTATGGAACCAGTTCTGTTAAATATCTTCATCAACAATATTATGATGGCATAGAGTACTCTTACTATGTTTCCAGATGATACCAAGCTTTGGAGAATAGTAAGGTCATAATTTCGGTTGCAACTGCTTTGGATAGGGTAATAATTCAAAATGATCTGGACAAATTGGAGAAATGGTCTCCAATAAACAGGATAAAGTTTAATTTAATAAGGACAAATGCAAAATACTCCACTTAAGAAGGAACAATCAGTTTCACACATACAGAATGGGAAGCAACTGTTTAGGAAGGAGTACTGCAAAAAGGTATTTAGGGGTCAGAGTGAACCACAAGCTAAATATGAATCAACAGTGTGATGCTGTTACAAAAAAAAAGCAAACATGATTCTGGGATGCATTAAGAGGAGTGTTATGAGCAAGACACGAGAAGTCATTCTTCCGCTCTACTCTGCACTGATTGGCCTCACTCAGTTGAATTATTGTGTCCAGTTCTGGGCACCACATTTCAAGAAAGATGTGGAGAAATTGGAGAAGGTCCAGAGAAGAGCAACAAGAATGATTAAAGGTCTAGAGAACATGACCTATGAAGGAAGACTGAAAGAATTGGGCTTGTTTAGTTTGGAAAGGAGATGACTGAGAGGGGACATTATAGCAGTTTTCAGGTGCCTAAAAGGGTGTCACAAGGAAGAGGGAGAAAAACTGTTCTCCTTAGCCTCTGAGGCTAGGACAAGAAGCAATGGGCTTAAACTGCGGCAAAGGAGGTTTAGGACGGACATTAGGAAAATCTTCCTAACTGTCAGGGTGGTTAAACTCTGGAATAAGTTGCCTAGGGAGATTGTGGAATCTCCATCTCTGGAGATATTTAAGAGTAGGTTAGATAAATGTCTATCAGGGATGAATTAAACACTGGAATAAGTGCCTAGGGAGGTTGTAGAATCTCCATCTCTGGAGATTTCAAGAGCAGGTTTGACAGACATCTATCAGGGATGGTCTAGACAGTACTGGGTCCTGTTGTGAGGGCAGGGGACTGCACTCGACCTCTCACGATCCCTTCCAGTTCTAGTGTTTTATGATTCTAATGAGGCAGGCAACTTGAAATATGTTGCCTCAGAGCGCGATTTACCGCATGCGTGCTGTTCGTCTCCACTGTGGGCTCCAAAGACACCAGCGGCATCATACGTGCTGAAGTACGGTGCTGCTGCTGCTCTCAGAACCAGCCACGAGGGAGATGACCACTTCAGTGCCGTAGCCCTTTGAGGTGCTGAGGCGGCTTGCTTTTTGTATCCCCGCTACTTGAGTTCCTCGGGCTGCTGGGCCAAACCAGAGGCTGGTCTAAGCGAGTTTTCCAATAAAAATAACTTGAACCAGGGGTCGGTCTTTCCGCGCCCGCAATTTTAGCTTTGTGCAATGAGGGCATTTCTGAGCATTATGCTGCTCTCCGAGGCAGTGGATGCATTGTGAACGATCATCCGATATCGGAATAGGCTCTTTACATGAGGTGCAGCGCATAAACCCTGGTGAGCCAGGCATGCCTATGGAAGCAGTCAGACTGCAGGAAGGTAACTGGGAGAAAAAGAAAAAACCCTTATACTAATCTAGATTTTTTTTTTTGAAACTAACGAAGAAATTAACTAAGTATTTAAACTCACTAATTAACTACTATAATGAATTTAACTGGTTTTCAGAAGTATAATCATCTAGATACAAAGAAGCTAGGGAGCACTGCTGAGTCTGTAGCCAGAGACAGTAGAGAAAGAACTAAGGAGTGAGAGGAGGGGCTTACGCATGCACAGCTGCTGGTGTGCGTGTGAAGCCCCAGGGACACTTCTGAAATCTCTGCTCTGAGGCTGGGTGGCGGTGCAGAGACCTAATATGGAGCACCCACAGGGACTTCTCTCTCAAAGAACTGCTCACTGTCAAGCGCTGTCTGTCTTTAAGGTTAGGGTCTTTAGAAGCCTTGTTTCATTCCATTACTAGAGATACTTGGAAGGGCTCTAGTCTTATTTCCCCCTGTCTGAGGATGTTGAGAAGACCGACTTCATAAGGGATGTTTATCCAGCAAGCAGTGCGTCAGGGATGAGGGATCTCACTTCTTATTGTCACAGTGAGAAAGAACTTTCTCTTAGAGGTACATGGGAAATGATGATCAATAGACAAACTTTGAAGCAGGGAAAGCTTCATTGGGGAGAGATTAGGCCCAGGTCTGATTCTTGACATTAATTCTATGAGAAGTTGTAATCAAATGGGGCTTGGAGCTTTGGGTTTCTCCCATAATCTTAATTTTACCAAGATTCCAGAATAAACTGCCTATAAAATATTGAGTTTGTTTACCCACAGTCTGCACTCTAATTTTAATTCAGGAATGTCATTCAATTGTTGTGCCACACACTGATCCCTTTGTTCAAGCCATGTGCAGGGTGTTTTCTATTGCAGCTGGGATTCTGAATTAATACATTACGATCTCTCTCACTGACTGGTATGTTATAGTAGTAAAATGACTGAAGCAGTCTTTGCTTTAAGACAAAGTATTTTTGGCTTAAACTACAGATGCGTTCAAACATGTTTACATTCTACAAAATAGCACCCAGTCTGCATATTTGTTCAGCTAACTACTTCAGCAGTTCAGATATGATTTGGCATTTGAGCCATACTTGACTATGTGTGAACATAAAATACAGCAATTTAGGAAGTTAAGATTGGGTTTCTAATAAAAAAGAATTTCAAACTCAAAACAGTGAAGGCATTTTTAACCCATAGGGTTAAGGCACAAACAAAAATCATGTAAGTTAATTGCATTTTAAGACTGGTCAAATTACTTCCAATATCATGAGTCCACTACTGTAGTGTTCAACTACATGCCTGCTGCACTTGGCAAATATATGGCTCTAGTATCATTTACCCTGTTCTATACAGACTGAAACACTGTCTTTAAATCTGTATTAGATAGAAGACAACCCCGAGGAGTTGTGTTAACAAAAGATGGTTTTCTAGGGAAGCAAACCCACACACAAAAGTGATAGAAGAGCAAACAGAGACATGAAAAAAGGACAAGGCTGTGTCCAGACTCAGGGGCTTTTTCGAAAAAAATAGCCTTTTTTCGAAAAAACTTCACCTGCGTCTAGACTGCAGCCGCGTTCTTTCGAAATTAAATCGAAAGAACGTGGCTTTTCTTTCGACGGCGGTAAACCTCATTTCACGAGGAAGAACGCCTTTTTTCGAAAGTGCTCTTTCAAAAAAAGGCGTTCTTGAATGCCAACAGGGCTTTTTAGAAAGAGAGCATCCAGACTCACTCGCTTTCTTTCGAAAAAGCGGCTTGCTTTTTCGAAAGTTCCGCTTGCAGTCTAGACGCTCTTTTTTGAAAGAGGCTTGCAGTCTAGACATAGCCCAAGAGTACAGAGGTGATTAAAACTGAAGCATATTTTAAATCTTTGCTTGTTTTCCTTTGCATGCTTTTCTAGGATTTTTAAAAAATGTTAAATATGAAAATAAAAATTGAAGCCTGCGTGCTGGCCCGTTCCAAGTATTTTAAACTGGCAGCTCACCCATAGCTCTGGAGTTGGGCACTTCAAAGTTAGAGCCTAGACTCTTTGGCATGCATGGATTAAAAGCACTAAAGCAGCAACTGAGCCCATGTTAAAAAGCAGCTCTTCAAGTCCAAAAGGAGACAATTGTCAGTTTCTCAAAGCCACTAAGTGATTCAGGCAGGATAGTATTCAGCAAATGAGACGTGTTGTAACAATTAAAAACAACCACTACCACTACAGAATTTCTTATTTTGATTTAGATTTTTGATTTTAAAGGAAAATGACAGAAAGAGAAATATACTGTAGAACTACTTGCTCGACCAGCTCTGGAATGCTCTCTTCCCACATAATGCATACTCCAGGAGCCATTATGGCCTGTTCACCATAGTTAAACATTTACATTTAATTCTCCAGGTCTAACAGATTTCATATCATAGATTGCATTAATAATGCTTAATATTTTTATGCCAAATTCTCTGGAGATGTCTTTATCAATGGAGTTCCAGATTTGCAAACAAAACCCACTAAGAAATGTTAAATTACCTTGGGATTTTTACCCTCTTTGGCTAATAAAGCACGTAATCGCTCTTGTGAAGGTGGTGCAATGAAGATAATATATGGCTTCAAGTCTGAATTGCGTAGGGTCTTCAATGACTGAAGAAAAAAATGTTCCATTTGTTATTTCAATTTCATTAACGTTTGTAAAGGAAAACAGATTCACTGTTCACATAATGTTCTCAACTGCTAAAATAACTCAGTATACATTTCAAGAATGTATTTAAAGTTGTGTGACATTCATTAATATTGTGATTGACTATGTGGCATTGTTAATCACTGACTCTGATGCCATTCATGTTTTCCTGTATAACTGGTATTACATCCTTTTTTTGCCTTACTTATGGAACTTCAATATCTAATCTTGCTCAAGAATTCTTCACAGAAGAATATCAACTGTTTACCTAACTTGGTTTGGCAGAAATTAAATATATGAATTCAGACTAATTACATTTTTTCACTATACAAAAGTACAAATAAACTGCAGTTGCAGTTTCTCCATATACAACTAAGAACCAGTCTATAATGTGTATGCAGTCAAAAGTTCCATGCACAGCATTAATCTTAACATTAGAAAAACATCATCTTTAGTTTTCCTCTCATAGTTTTATTTTACCAAGGGCACTAGTGATGGGTTAAACGTTCATTTTGCTAGTTTTATGGTAAGATCCTAGGACAGGAAATCAGGAGAACTGGATGCTATTTCTGGTTCTTTAAGGACTTTCTTCTTTGCAACCTTGGACAAGTCATTAGCTATGATTGAGCTTCCTCATTTTCAAAACAAGATTACTTACCAGCTTCACACCATATTAATAAAAATTAATTAATTGTTAGTATGTTCTCAGATTCTTGCACAGACCATTCTAGAGAAATGTGAAGTATTACACTACACAGATAAAGAACAATGGAAATCATTTAAGTAGTTCTTTTGTAACCACACAAACGTGATTTCCACTGTTGTATTTGATTATGTAAATTGCTATTTTAGATTTGGGCTTAACCAATACAGAGCAATTACGTGTGATACCACTGGTGGAATAATAAGATTATAAAAATGCACTAGCAAATCCTTTTGGTTTTATTGAAACTTAAATATTAATATGCAATTTTACCTGTTAAGCAAGCACATATTCTGGCCATTGTATGTACAGCTGACCACCATGTGGGAAATCTGATTTGTAAAAGTTTTGTTTTTTCTAAATTTTGTTCTGTTCCAAATTGGAACGAATTCAAGTTGTTTCAAGGTTTCAGATGAATCAGAAATTCCCAAAATGTTTCATAATTAGAAAGACTAATACATGGTGTTTTGTAAATAAAATCTGCTCCCTAGAATCCTGACAGTAGCTGAGTGAAACCAAAAAGAATGTCAGTTTCACTTAGCAGCTGTTAGGATAGCGGTGTCTTTGTGTCTAAGGCAGCTCTGCCATATGGACCTTCCCAATCTGAAGCAGTCTGCATAGTGGGGCAGCCTCAAAACTGCAGACCCTGCAAGTGAATCACAAATCTTCCAAGCTTTGCAGAAGGGAGCCTGGAAGCCCTGAAAGCTCCAGTTTTAATAGAGGTTCTCAGATCTTTCAGGCTCCCTATAGTCTCCCAGCTCTACAAGCCCTGCTTAGAGCTGCAGCTCCTGTGGGCTTCAGGCTCCCAGCTTCAAGACAGTGAGAGCATGGAAGTCCTGGCATGGCTGCCTGCACCAAAGCCATGAAACCTGCAAGACCAGGATCTTGGCAGCCTCCTGGCAGCCCGTAGGTTGGAGCTGTCCAATAGCCACTTAACTTGGGTAACATCCTGGCTACCTAGCAGCTCAGCAACCTGGCACATTTCCCATGGCTCCAGCGGATTCTACCTTTAGATTCAGCAGCTTACCAAATCCAAGATGTTTTCACAAAATATTTTGGGCTGGATAAACTGGCATTTTCTAATGAAACTGTTTCACTGGAAAATTTCCAACCAGCTCTAGATTTACATAATCTTAAATATCCCTTATCATATTCTTGAAAAATACAGGTTATTTCTTAAAATAGTTAATTGCTAGACAAGTATGTACTTTTCTAATTGTAACTCCTCTGTTGTTGCAAATTAATTTTCAGTCACTAAAAATATTCAGTCACATTATAGATCAATTATTCTACGTTGCATAGGTTCTTATACTGCACTCATCACTGTAGTAATTACTAATTTGTACCCCTCTGAAATAATTCTTAACAGAATATGAATTATATGAATTTCAGGAGTAAAAAAATTCTGAATTTTAAACAGTTTTTCTTTTAAAGTTATTTTCATTTAATTGAAGGAAACACCTCCTCCTCTTTTCCAAACAGTTGATGAAAATTTACCTTCAACTACATTCCGAGTTTCAAAGAGCTGAAGTTTTACCATAACGTTTCAAAATATGTTTAGAAGGAAAGAGTTGGTCCCACAAAATACAGATCATCCTTCCTTCAACTTCCTCTTAGGTCAAGGGCCTCAGCTACACAGGAGATTTATTTCATATGCAATTAAAGCATTAGTATAAGGCCCACGTTTAGATGATATGTTATTGAGAATTCACGCTATCAATCCTATTTCACCTGCATTTACTCCCAACATAAGGTAAATTGGTGAAAACTCATTCCCCTCGGTGGAACATTATAACATGGGGGTTAGTCTGTCAACCTTTTTTTCCTATACTAGTGCTGTAATTTTACAAGGTAGTAAAGGCTAAAAAGGTCTCATCAGTAACCGAAGTTATTTAAAAATATCGCTGTATATTCCACCTGCTACAGCATAAGCACCCTCTTGCAAATAAATGTGTTAGGTTGAAAAGAGGTATTGTCCCAAACTATTTCACCATCTGCAAAACTTCAGGCTATGTCTACATTGGCAGCTTCTTGTGCAAGAACAATTGTTCTTTCGCAAAAACTTGCCTGCTGTCTACACTGCACGAGCGTTCTTGTGAAAGTAAATTTACAGTATAGTATTGTAAAACAGGGCTTCTCCCGGAAGAGTTATTCCTCTCCCCATGAAGAATAAGCCCTCTTGCACAAGAGCCCTTTCACAAGAGGGCAGCGTAGACAGGCAACAAGAATTTCTTGCGCAAGAAGCCCCTATGGTTAAAATGGCCATCAGAGCTTTCTTGTACAAGAGAGCGTCCACACTGCCATGGATGCTCTTGCGCAAAAGCACATGGCAATGCAGACGCGCTCTCGTGGAAGATTTTTTGCACAAGAACTCTTCTGCAAAAGAATTCTTGTACAAGAAGCCGCCAGTGTAGACGTAGCCTCAGAGTCCAGAGGATAAGAGAATTCCAAAAGGTGGGGGAAAGCATGATTTTCATCAACGTGTCTTAAAAAAAAATTCAAGGGACTTAAGGATTCAGTTTCCAAAGCACTTTCTAATCTACAGAACAGATATGTATCAGGCTGTAGATATAAGCTTCCTATATATACACACAAACAATGTGCCTAACAATAAACAAAAGGGACCACTTGAACATGCTGTGTACAGTTAGGAAATGGATTGTGACCAGGCCACCTGAGAGTTTTACTAATACAGGTTGGACCTGCCAGGTCCAGCACCCTCAAGACCTGACCAGTCCCAAGCAAAAGATTTTGCCAGATCAGGGGAGATCGTTTGGGGCCCCTCTGCCACCAGCCCGCCCAGCCAGACCATCAGCCAGCTCCACCCTGGCATCAGTCCAGCTGGGCTCGCAGCCACAGCAGGGCTACCAGTTTCCCTTGCTGCGGCAGCCTGTTGGCTCTACAACAGCCCTGCTCCTGTAACCTGCTAGTGCTTCAGGTACCCTGCCATCAGCCCAGCCCAACTTCTGTGGCAGGACTCCTGCCTCCAGCCTTCCACTGGGTCTTTCTGGTCCAGAAACATCTGTGGTCTTGCTGGATAACAGATGTTGCTGAACCAGAGTGTCCTGATTTAGAGGGGTTTCACTTATACCAAATACAGTCCCTTCAGTAACATGTTCCGTTCTCATAACTGCTGCTGCAATGAAATGCAATACCTGTGTATGAAGATTTAAAAGGCATATCTTGCCAGAGTTGATTACTTGCCGCACAGAGTCTATGCTGGTACCATACAGATTCTTCTCAAACTCGCCATGCTCAATAAATTTCCCTGCAGCTATGTCAGTCTCAAACGCCTGTCGTGAGATGAAATGGTAATCTCTGCCAGCTATTTCATTCTCTCGCCTACTCCTAGTGGTATCTGAAATTAACAACAACCAAACAGAAGATGAAAAAAAAATGATGAACTTCTCAAATTCCAAGTGGCTCAAAAGTAACATGCTTTTCAAGACAGAATACTATGCAATATCCAATTAGACAGAAGGGCAGCTATTATCTTTTCAGCTATTTATATTTCTCTGAACAGATTATCTACATTAAGGGTGTGTCTAAACTACACCCCTCTGTCGGCAGAGGGATGTAAATTACACACATCAAAAGTGCAAATAAAGTGGGGATTTAAATATCCCATGCTTCATTTGCAGAATGGCGGCCACTTTTTTCCGAAACAGGGCTTTTCGAAAAAACCTGGCAGTTTAGACAGGGCATTTCTGTCGAAAATGCCTCATCTAAACTGCCAGGTTTTTTTGAAAAGCCCCGTTTTGGGAAAAAAGTGGTGGCTGCCATTATGCAAATGAAGCGCAGGATATTTAAATGCCCGCTTCATTTGCATTTTCGATGTGCTTCATTTACATCCCTCTGACAACAGAAGGATATAGTCTAGATGTAGTCTAACTGTATGATACTCATCTTGCATTAGCATTTTTCACCCAGAACAATATGGAAACCACTCTGCCAACTAAAAAAGAAACCCCTTCACTAAGCAGCCACTTTGGCTCCAGCTGTTTAATAACACACAGCAACATAATTGAGTAGTGGAGAGTATCATAGTCAATGGAAACTGAAGGGGGAGTTTGGGAAAGCATGGTATAATCCCCCCCCCCCTTCCACCCCCATCTGAATTTAGCTATGGCTCCCATGTTAAAATAATTTATTATTGTGAAATGTTCCATGAGATTTCTGACTACTATATGTGCCTCAATTTTATGTCACATCCAGGAGAAAGAAAAAGTAACTAACTAACAATGCTAATTAACTGGGGAGAGAAAAACGTGTTTTTAAAAGGGGATAAATATCTAGATGTGAAGAAGGTTGGGAGCACTGCTGAGGCCCGTTTGTAACCGGAGGCGGTAGAGAAGGAACTGAGGAACAGGGGGCTCATGTATACGCAATGCCTGCCACCTACGATCATACTGCTGCAGACGTGCACATGTGTGGCCCCAGGGACACTGTTCTGAAATCTCTGATCTAAGGCTCAGTGGTGGCACACTGACCTAATGTGGAGCACCCATCAGGACATCTCTTGAAGAAGAACTCATCTTACCCTGCTTATCTTTCAATATTCAGGAAGATCACAGACTGAGGTGATCTGGTTGTAGGTTATATTTAGGATAGTGGTTATACCATCTGCAACAGAATATTCACACCCTACAACTACTGTAATAATCTTTGTTCAAGGTATGCCTTGTAAGGTATCATTTGAAAACCCAATTTGCTGGCCATTATTGTCCTGATAAAATGTATGTGGCAACCCTATATGTGAAGTTTTAAAACTTCTCTGTACAATGTTAACAACATATGTTCGATACCACTCAGCCCTGCCTAAACAAAAGTTGGCAAACAGGTCTGTTCTAATCACAGGAATGTGTGTTGCATTTATTTGAATTTAGCAGTAAATAGAATCATTAAAGCAGGAAGTCAAAACAAAGGAACATCAAATAGGAAAAAAAAAAAAAGCAGGGAATATTCTCTCCCTCTCAGACTTTGTCTCCTAATTCACAGCTGGAAATAGGTTTTCAAGAAGGGGACTAGAATTAAAAAAAGTAGGGACAAACAACCCAAGGGACCCCCATCTTTCTCTGCCTGCCCACCTTCTTCTCTGCACCTAAAAAGACCAAAGGAAATGACTGTTGGATTTTGCGGGGTGGTAATGACCTGAAAATATGGTCAGTCATCTATTGAAGCATGTGGTGAAAAAAATGTACTTTGTGACTAAGACAGCTTCTTACTAATAAGCATTTATATTCATTTTCCTTGAATCCATTTCTGACTTTTATGCATCATTACTTCCACTCAATTAAAATTTCCCTTTGTAGTTAGTAAACTTGTTTCTATTGTTTTATTTAAACCATTGCATTTAAACTGAAGCGTCTGGGTAACTATTTAAGGCAATAAGGTGATAAATTCTTCCCTTAGGCTACGTCTACACTGTGCATTCTTGCGCAAGAAGATATGCAAATGGGGCACAGCGATATTAATTGCTGTGCCTCATTTGCATACCTAATGAGCCGCCATTTTGCAGAAGGAGCTTTGCACCAGAAGGAGCGGTCTACACTGCTCCTTCTTGTGCAAAAGCCCCTCTTGTGCAGGAGCTGTTCTTCCTGAAAATAAGCGGCAGAATGGCGCCACACAAGAGGGTTTTTTTGCACAAGGAGCAGTGTAGACAGCTCCTTCTTGTGCAAAAGCCCCTCCCGCAAAACGGTTGCTCATTACATATGCAAATGAGACATGATGATATTAATCACCGCACCTCATTTGCATATCTTCTTGCGCAAGAATGCGCAGTGTAGACGTAGCCCTAAAGTATAGCGGACTTAAGTGTTTGTACTGTCCAGGATAGGGGACATATATTGCTGGAGAAAAATCCATTACTAGGGGTTTTGCAGGTCAGTATAACAGACTGCTGAGAATATGGATGCAGTTGGAAGGCTTCAGTTATACACTGACACTAAAGGTGTGGCCTGTATGCTAGAACTGTTTGAGAGGAGCACAGGTGGGAACTATTTCAGCAATGCATTGTAAGACATCCAAGATTGTAGGGCAGGAGTGACATTTCTCACTAGTTTGAATTATACCCAGGTATGTCACACATTCCCCTCAAACTTACGAGGAACTGCAGCTGCAAAGCGATCTACTTCATTATTCATTAGTCTCTGACGTAATTCATTCTGGCCACAGTTCTGTGGGCCAATAAGGACAATAGGCCTTTTCCTATTTGCTGGCTGGTGATACAGTGACATTTCTTCATATGTTAAAATTTCTTCATTATCATAGTCTTCAAAGAAAAAAAAAACATATTGAAAAACATTATTTAAAACAAAGGCAACCAGATCCAAACATGACTACTATATGAGAAAGACAAGGCGGGCAAGATGATATATTTTACTAAACCAGCTTTCGCAGAGCTCTTCAGGCATGAAAAAGGCAAGCAAAATATTAAGAGTTAAATACAAGATGGGCCAAACTGTTAAGTGTGAGGGGTTAACACATGGAAGGAGACCACTTAAAATGAAACAAATCCATACATCACACTTGCTTCCAGAGTGCAGCCAGGCTTTCAAGGCACGGGATTAGGGAACAAATTTGCTTATATGTTTATAAATTAGATTTCTAATCAAGAAACTAATTCATCAATTCTTTCCTGGTATTTATAGGTTCAACCAAAATTCAAATTTTCTCAGCCTGTGTCCTACATTTAATTTGCATGGATCATGAATTCCAAAGGTATATATAGAACTTTACTGGAAGAAACTTTCTGGGGACAAAGTTTCAGTCTCTTATATTGAATAAACATAGAATATTCAATAAGAAATGGCAGGGTGATGCTAACATTTATTGAGCACATAGTAAAAGATGCAATTGTCATTTTTACAGCAAGGTTAAGAATGTTTAGGACATTTTCACTAGTTAATTTTAAAACTGGTACACAAGTCACATCAAGGTTATTACATACCATCATTTTTATTAGCATTGTACAAAACTTTTTTCCGTTTCTTTTTATTTTTCTTTGCACACCAGAGTTTTCCTGAAAGTCAAAATAAAAATCATTAGAATAGTATACGCTTGTACATTAAAAAAAGCCTTTCCTGCCTGGTTGTGTAATTAAAGGCCTAGGACACATTTTGTCTTTCTAAATATTTTATATGTATTTAGAAAAGTTAAAAAATATGGTTTCTATAGTTTAATGTGTAGAATTACATTTGTATAACTAGAGTCCTGCAAATCTGCGGGTGTTCACATCTGCAGATGTGTATATCCACGGCTCATTTTTGGGGATATGGATGCTGATACAAATTCTGTATCTAGAACCCTGCAAATTTGTGTATATCTGCTTCATATCCACAGGTATCTGCACCTGCAGATGTGGATATTCACGGATTATTTTTGCAGATGCAGATGTGGATACCAAGAGCCTCTTGCATTACTTAGACCAGTGGTCACCAACCAGTAGATCAGGATCTACTGGTAGATCTTGAAGACTCCGACAGGGGATCTTGACTGGTTTGGCCAAGAGGCTAGCAAATGCTGGCACTTTAGCTGCCCCTCCCCGCACTGCTGCGGAGCTCCTGCCCTTTACCTTGGAGCTGTTCTCCCCTCCCCCACTTGCTGGGCAGGGCAGAGAAAGAAAAGGAGGGGGCGCTGATTACAGGGTGGGAGAATGGGCACCCTGACTTCTATCTCCACAGAATGGAGGGGGGAGGGATAACAGGGCTTGGCATGGAGGGAGTTTGCTGGCTGCTTTTGAGAGTGGTGCTGGGCCAGGGCAGAGGTAAGCCTGCCTTAGCTCAACTGCACCACTTATGGTAAGCAGTGTTCAGCTGGAACCCTCATCCTGAACCCCTGTCGCAGTCAAACTAAGGATGTTAAGGACTAGTGGACTAGTCCACTAACCGACTAATCCACTATCCAATAAGCAAAAATATACTGGATAGTCTAGTTGACTAGTCAATCCCCCCCCCCCCACACACACACCTTGCTGTCTCTATCAAATAGAGGCAGCAAGGGGGAAAAAGAGGAGGTACTTCAAAGTGGCAGTGCCACATGGAGCCCATACCCGGCTCCGTGCGGCACTGCCCCTTTCAAATGCCACCTCGGCTCCATGTGCTTTTTATCCATGCATATGTACATCCATGGATGTGGATGCAGATACAAAATTTGTATCTAGAATCCTGCAAATGTGCATATATCTGCTTTATATCCACAGGTATCCGCACCTGCAGAAGTGGATGCAGCTATCTGCAGCTCATATTTGTGGAGACATTTGTGGTAATTTTGTACCAGTGGGTTCAAGTCCTGTGCAGAGCTCTACTTATCTTCCTGCAAGTTCTTACAAAACAATTGTTAAGATCCATCTCTTTGTTGTTTTGACCAGGTTTTATCCACCCATGTCTAGTTAAGGTGATCTCAGAGACAGTACACAGATCTTTAGAAGTTTTCTTCTAGCCCACCTCTGCCACTATTGTAGCATGTAAGTGGTAGGAGATGAAATTCCTCTGAGAGAGAGTATGAGGTTAATCTCTTGCAGCTCTATTTTGTATGAACTGAACGAATCCAAATAATCAGGATGGTCAAAGACAAGGTGAATGGTAAGAAGGTAAAAAATAATCTGACATCCTCCCAGGGGAAAATTTAAAACTCTTTGTTTCAGGAACTTCTGAAATCACAGCACTCATCGCCCATGTACAGTTGGAGTGAAGGTGGTGAAATAGAATTTAAGAGTGGAAATTTGGGATGTTATTCCAGTGGACATTTTGATTGGAAGTGATGTAATATCTGTGTCTCAAGTTCTTATTGTGGTAACTGGCAGTCGAAAGAGCACAGCCCAGAAGCCCCTTTGCTTAACTCAGGTGAGAAACATGCAGAGGGAACAGAATAGGACATTGTGACTGCACTGTAAGGAGGGGTACATTCCAGAGAGTGGGTGTCAGCAGAATAGACGACTTATTTTCTCCATCACCTCAGGCACTTCCTGTCTGCCTGCTGCTCATCAACCACCCCCAGGCACCTCCCTCTAGCTGCCAAACAGTTGATGGGTGGCAGGTGCTGAGTGCTTCCTATTCTTTTCCCCAGGGTGCCTGAGCCTCTGAGCACCCATGGAGTCTGTGGCTATGACTGTCAGCTTCTTACACTTATGCAGACTTCAAATCAGCCAAAGGCAAGCAGCCTTTGTTAAAGAGCAAGACACAGACCATTCGGGAAGCAGTTCATTAATGCCCCTACAGAGGATAATAGGGGGAATGGGTTGGTTTTTTTTTTTTTTAAAATGCAAAATGGTAGGATATACAGGTTGAAACTCTCTTAACCATGACTTTTCTAGTCCAGCAAAATCTGTGGTCTGGACCAGAGAGTCCCACTGGAGGGTTAGCGCCCCGGAGCCCTGCAGGCTGGCAGGGCAGCGAGGCTTCCTGGCAGGGCTGCAGGAGCTCGGCTCAGAGGCTGCAGGGAACCTGGCGCTCAGAGACAGTGGGGCTACCTGGGGTAGGGCAGTGGGAGCTAACGGGGTAGAGGGACCAGCTGGGAGGGCAGCCAGTTGGACCAAGGCTGGAGGGGGATGGCAGCAGGAGGCCAGAAATGACCTCTCCTGGTCCAGCAAAATCCCTCATCCAGGACCGGTCAGGTCCCAAGTGTGCCAGACCAGAGTGGTCCAACCTGTATTGGGAAGCCCCAGCAGGAACAAACAAGGGCTGTGAGCATAGTTCCCTCTAAGATGCGTGCCTGTGTGGTCACACACAAAAAAATTCTTCTCCTACCTACCTCCTCTGCAGAGCTGCGCAGCAGCACTCACTTCCCTGCTGGAAGGTGAGTGGCGCAGTGGTTTCCTGCTCCTGCGGCAGCCATGAGGCTGACCTGGTGCGCTGCAGCTAAAGTGGTGCCCAGATAATATGCCATGCCATGCCTGCCACTCCCTAGGGAAGCCTCAGGTATTAGCCGTGCCAGCCGGAGACGGGTTTCCCGGTGGAGGCTGCAGGGAAAGCAATTGCTGCTCTCGCCACTAGGCAGCCCAGCCACCACGCACCCCCAGCACGCTCCAGAGCTCCCCTGCAGGGCACTGTGCCGTCACTGTCGGACCAGTGGGACAAAGAGGGGAGCCCGGCTGGCTGTGTGTCTGCAGCCTGCTGAGATGGAACCAGGTGCAGTGGAGGTGAGTGCAGCGCATTGCAGCCGAGCAAGACCTGCTGAGCAGGGAGGCGGCAGCAGCCTCCCCCGAGCAGCCATCAGGCAAAGCCACCTGCTTCAGACTGGAGGAACTATGGCTGAGCAGCAGCACCTTTGTGCTGGGTGAGGACTCGGCTCACAAATATGAACTGCTCTTGTCATTAAAGGCTATTCACATTCTGTGGTCCCAGCCTGCCTCACTGCCTTGGGGGCTTTCAAACATGCCACAAAACATAATTTCACTAGCGTAAAAGGGAAAACATTTCCCTTTGTTCTCTCACCTTCACACTAACGGTTTTGCCCAATAGCCATGATGCCCCTCTGGGAGTAGCACTACAAGAGGGCTGACCACCCAGCTGGCAAAAATCAAGCCCTTCTAAGTTGCCTCAGAAGAGACAAAGTAAAGCTTGGTGACATTAAATAACTTGCCCCTTGCAAACAGCTTATCCTAGATGACTGGCAGGAAAATTGGCTTTGCAAGATCAGAAACCCGAGGATCGTACAGCAAGGACAAGATATGACTTGACCAGGGCTTTGATCAAGTTCTGTGCCCCTATGTTAAAGATACAGGTGCAGTCCTTGCTAGACGTGCCATTAGGTCATGCTGCTCCGTGAGCTCTGGGCTGGGAACATTCCCAATTGGATTCCCCAGTCCCTTGGGAAAAGGACGAGATGCCACTGTGGGCACCCACCTCGCCTGCTTCAAACCTCCCTTTTCCCAGTCCCTGCTGCCCTGGTGCTGAGAATGACAGCATCCTGTGCTCCAGCAGCGAAGTGGCACTTTGCCCTTCCCCTGGCACAAAGACCAGGGTGCACCAGATGGAATTGGCAGTGGTGTGAACACACACAGCATATGTACAGACAAGCAGAAGGGCTTTTCGTGGGGCTTGCTCTGAGTTCCACTGTTCTGTACACTCTGCCTGAAGTTCTGGTATTGGACAGACAGACAGAGATACTGGGTTGGACAGACTATTGATCTGAATTATTGTGGCAGCTCTTATCTATCTATGGATGGATGGATGAATAGATGAGGTATGTAGAGAGAGAGAGAGAGAGACAGAGAGAGAGGTGGGAGAGGGGGATGGGAATGGATGGATGCATTTATCTCCACACACCCCATCCATCCAATCCTTATTTCTCTAGCAATAGATCTTCCCCCTTGTCTTGGGCCCAAGCTCAGGGAAGGACTTGCTGTTTCTCATCAGGCAGGAGATATGCAAATACAGATGTCAGTTTCCTTTTTAAATCTATGCCTCTCTCTGCCCAGGCTATACTCATATGGCTACTAAAAATTTTGTAGTATTAATTTTCTCTTTATTTGATTTCATATTAAATAAATAAGTCATGTACCCTGTTAATTTTCCCTTGTTTTAGTATTTTGTGTGTGTGTGTGTGTGTGTCTATATATATATATATATAGACACACACACACACACATACACACACACTCTCAAAATATATCTGTTAGTAACTGGCAGGCGCCACAGTGGCATACATCCACATAGGCACACATGAGCTAAACATTGGTGCACATAACAAAACTTACTCTGCTCATGGATGGAAAATCTTACAGGGAACATTGGCTGTGAGGAATGCCACAAACAGCTCCCAATGCCAAATAAGTCCATGGCAGTATTATTATATTTGTCCATATACTGGATGTCTAGGGGTAGAGAGAATATTTGAAGGGGTTCAGAATTTTCTTTTTTTGTTGGCCTGGTATTATCCTAGCAGGAAAGGAATACTGTAAATCCTGCGATTTGTGCAAAAGTGGAAAAAGATTACAGGTTTCTGCAAAGAGACATTGCAACCATTACCTGTAAAGGGAGACATCGTCGATAGGATTGCCATGAACATCACTGGTTCATTCCCTAAGCTCTTCAAAAATGAGAAAAAAAAATACATACTGGAGGTAGCTGACTTTGCTATCCCAGATACCCAGAGGTAGTAGCCAATACAGCGGCAGAAACAATGGCAACTGCACTCATTTTCACAGTTAGAATGGCTTTGTAAAGAACTACTGCTAGTTTGCGGTCACATTTCAAAATCCACGTATTTGCTGAACTGTGAAAAGGTATGGGCTAAGACAATTGAAGTCTGCCCTAGATGACCCAGGAACAAATGGATTAGTTTAAAGATTTAGTGGGACACTGAAATTCATGCTAAAAGCGTATGTACACAGAAAGGCAAGGGATTAGGACATGCAACTGCATTATCTATTGTTTGCTTACTGAGAAGTATTTCAAGAATTGACAGGGTTTGCCCCTTCAATCTATACAGAAGGAAGGTCAGAGGGGCCAATAGATCGAGTCAGATTCATGGGAAGGGAACAATGACTCAGAAGGGCAACCTGTAATTGAATTGGTATCTAAGTTCTGGGCAATGTTAAAATCCTTTATGGAGCTGGTACAGCATAACCTTGAAAGAAGCCATGCGGTATAAAAAGTATGGTATCACAAAAAAGTATACATGTGTAAAAGCTCATGAAAGAGCTTCTGACACCAAAATATTACAGTCACCACCTGGATTAAATAAAAGTACAACAGTTACAGAATTTTTCCTTAGAATATATATTCAACCTGATTTCTCTGGCTCCTTGTCTTCTTCTATGGTTTGCTTCATTGCTTCTCTTTGCTGTTGAAAGCTCTTTCCTTAACATACAAAAAGGTACATTAAAAGCAGTTAGCATCAGGAAATAATTCCTATTTCCTTTTATAAGTGAGATGCCAGTTTTCTTTAATTTCTCATCATTACTCTATTATCATACTTTTCAATCTACCTAGGGCCAAGTGGAAGACACTATGCCACAAAGATCCAAAACAAGGAACAAAATATCATGCATACTTGAATACGAGATTTATTATTTTTGGTTAAATAATATTTTATAACTTCAGTTTTACGATTATAGTTAACATATATAATAGTTACACAATGAAGTAAGAAGATGGTGAATTTGTGTGCAACGATGGTAACTGACTAAAGTGTATCCTTCAAAATATGGGATAGTTGGATGTACAACTAATGTACTTTTCAGCATGTGAAAGGCAGAGCATTCTATCTGCAGTTTGTTTGTAATGACCTAATTAAGCAAACAGACATATATGGTTAACTTTTCACAATGGTGCATATTGGGACCAAGCTGTATGACTTCTGCAAGCAACTTTTTAAAAAACATGTATTCTTTTTAGATATAGTTTTATGCTCAAATATACCAGTATTGTCATACACTTGGCAGGATCAATAAGTGCACCTGTGCACACACCACCATTTGCCTTAAGTATGTAATATAGGGAACAAACCATATTGTCAATGAGGATGATCCAATACATTTTTCCATCTTTATTGTGTATGATTCTTAAATGGAAGGATTCAGCTCTTTGAGAAATACCATAGAGACACTTATAAAATTAGAAAGGCTCTGTAGCATTCCCAACATACACCATTCAAAGAAGAGGAGTGTATCCTTGGTAACACTGAGCAATTTTGCTTGGAAGAGTGATTATAAAAGAGTGGCATTGTTTCTCAATCATTTTCATATTAAATGTACTCCGGTCTCAGGTAAAAAAAGTGGATATTTTGTACCTGTCCCCCTGCCCCGCAAATGAACACCAGCACTGCAAAATCAGCCTGGATTTAAAAGAATCAAATTGGGTTCCTTTGCAACTCATACAAACATTACAAAGTAATGAAGTCACACTTGTGAAACACCTGTCTTGAAATTATTTCTTGTTCATCTATTGCTTCCAATGGATTTGCATTGCATGGATGCAAGAAACAGGATCTTAATAACTGATGCTCTTGCTGATGCTCCAAAATGGAAGGTTCCAGTGACTGAAAATCCAATTTGTCTGAAGCTCCCAGCTGTTTGAAAAAGGAATTGCTCTATCTACAGCTCTTTGTTTTTACTGAGCCTAAATCTCCTCTCTCAGGTGGAGATAAAGTAAGCTGGGGTTATATTGCAGTGCTGCATAGCAGACAGCAGAGGAACTCAAAGGAAAAGAGAAAAAACTATGGTAGAATGATCAAATCTAATCAGTGATTGGCAGCCATACCAGTGAATGCCCATCTATGAGAAAATTAATACTTGCTTGCTAAGAAATAGGTAATTATTTTTGAATATGTAAATTCATTTCTGTATTAAAAAACCATCACGGAGGTTCAAACAACAAATGAACATTTAACCAGATAACTTTCATGATATAAAAATCTCTTTCAAGACATTGCAATTGCTGTAGCGGGTTGTATTCCAAACAATGGCACCTCAAAACTACTGCACATCTGTGTTTTTGGGGACATTGCATTGTACCTGGGATAAGGCCTGCCAAAGGCTGATTGTCTTCATCTCCATCTCGGTAGGCCTGCCACCAGTTTGGATCTTCTTGGCTGATCACATGGAGTATATCTCCTTTTTGAAAAGACAGACCTAACTCTCGGCAAGGTACATAAGGATCATCAGAAGGATCATAGTCAAAATGTGCTTTCACGTGTATCTAGGAAACAAAAGATACAAAATTAAAAGTGAAAAATATTGAGTAATTCCAAGGTTTCATATTCCTAAAACATTCTCTCTCTGGCTGTGAAAAAAGGCAAAACAATTCTTGTCAAATTGGTACAACTTTATTTTCTTCACCACTATAACAAGTTGCAATTTCAATAGTTGAATATCTTGTATACAGGTATGGATGGGTCTACTTATGTGAGTAGTCCCATCCATACCTGCAGATACTGATTCAACTACTGAAATTGAAACTTGTATTGTAGTGAGGAAAATAAAGTTGTACCAATCTGAGGGAAGGTTAGAGACTGAAGATGAAGGCATGATAATACTTTCACCCAAACGACTATGCACCTGAAACACTGAGGTGAAATTGTTCAACCGAGTTACTCCAGTGAATGGAGTCACACATGGGTTTTAGTGGCACTTTTTAATTTAATTTCCTAGATTTGCTACTTAGTTTCTTAAAAGGGAAGAAAGTTTATCTGTAGTTCTGCTTCTCTGAAGACACCATTATATGGGACTCCAATTCTGGTGTTAGCACTCCTTATCAAAAAGACTACACAATTCCCTTAGCTCATATTTTTTCCTCTGACTAGATACTGATTTAATTCCTTAAGATTCTGGAAGGGTCAGGGTTTTCCTGGCTTTATTGCTTATCAGGTTTTCACAAAGTGGCACAAATTGATGACTGTCTTTACCAAGAGGGTGTGAATTTTCTGAAGCATTTTTTTGTGATACCAAAAAAACAGATTATTCTTGGGCAGTGACAAAGTATTTCTGAATGCTGATTTAGTTGCTTCTCTGAACTGTGCTTGTGCCATGCGTCCAAGGTGACCACGGATTAGTAAGTGTAAAAAGCTTACAAGTTTGCTTCTAGTCATGATATTCTGCCAGGATACAGAAAGCAGCATGCTGGATACACATTCTGGAACCTCACGCCTTTTGCTGCATATAGGAACCAAACTAAAAACCACTCCATTTCTGCAGCTGACGATGCTGATCACCCTTGAGCTGAGATGCTTTGAAATCAGCGATAGATGGCTCAAAGAGAAACTTCTCCTTTGCATCTTTTTTATGGGGGCCACAAGGGACATGGGACAGGCCCAAGACACTAGCGTGCACCTTATTTTCCCACTCTTTACAGAGGCTTGCACACGCTCCCCAAAGAGGCTGTCTTTGGCAAATAACAAGGTCCTTGAGTTTCTTCTGATGGAAATTAGATATCTGCGGCCAAGCTGAAGAAATCCAATCAAAGCGGCAGCTTTTGCAGCCATATCTGCATTCATCAGACATAAGGCAAAGTTTATACCCTAATGGATAATTTCTTTGAATTCTTGGTAATTCTCTTTCAAGGCAAATAAATCAGGGTGAAGGCCTTCAACAGCTGCCATCTGCCACAAAGGCCTGGTTGAGCCAGGTGCATCAGTCACAAAGAATATGTGAGAAGGTGAAGCAGGATAAAGAATTAAGAGGTAAAAGTGTCAAGAAAAAGGATGAATAAAATTCAGGATACCCAAAGTGGCAGAGAACTGAAATGTATGCCAAAAATAAATGCAGCAAATAACTAACATTATAGCAAATGAAATTGAGGCCATCTAAGTGGACAGTTTGAAGCACTGGAGAATGTACTGCAGCACAGTGCTAAATGTCACAAAGCATAAAACCCAGGTGTCAGCCAAAGTTAATAAGGAATTTAACAAGTATAAAATATACACCTGATCTTATAATAACCACACAGTCACAGCAGGGAGTTTCTTCTCTAGGTGTGGTCAAGAGGAAACTGGCCTAGGCAGAAGTATAAATCGTCAGTATAGTATGTGGCACTGCTATTTCTCTACAGGGTCAAAAATTACTTTACTAATGGAATTGTGTCAGCTTTGTGTTAAAGAAGGCAAAAGGAAACTAGTGGGCTTGTCAGAGGAGAGTCACAGTCATTGGCAGGATAGTTGACTGGTCTGATCCAGTCTCCAAGCTGCAAACAGTTTGAAAGTCCACTGTGATAGATTATGGACTTCAGTATGATGAAAATCATGCCTCTATGTAGTTAAGGGAGTTTACCAAAGTAACATTAGTCACAGTTACGTGCTTTCATGTGCATCTAGGAAATGAGAGCTGCTGCTGCATCATCTTCCATTATAGAACTACTTTTCACTACATAAAAATTTAAATAGGAATAACAGTCCCAGAATATATACAGTAGTTCCCTAAAAAGGGTGTGGAGAAAAGAGAACATACTCTCCTTTTACACAATGTGAAAATGCAGTCATTGCCTATTTTTATGAAGGCAAATAAAATCCTAAGAAGCAGTATTGGATGTGCAGTGGAACCTGGTTATAGTCCAATAATTTGGGGGGTGGGGGGGGAGGGAAGAGACAACTTGATTAGTAGCAGAGATTTGGGACAAGCTGAATTAGTTTTCAACACAGTAGTGGCTAAATGTAAGAAACAAATTAACAGATTATAAATTATAAAGCCAGATAGGACTGCTATGATCATCTAGTTTCCTGCATATCACAGGCCACAGGACTTCTGTGAATTAATTCCTTTTTGGAAAACATTCAATACGAGTTAAAAATTGCCAATGATGGAGAATCCACCACAGTGCTTGGTAGACAGTTCCAATGGCTGATAATCGTGTTCAATTTTTTTAAACCTCATTTCCAATCTGAATTTATCTAGCTTCAACATCTAGCCATTAGATCTTACTATCCCCTTCTCTGCTAGAGTGAACAGCCCATTACCAATTTTTTGTTCCTCATGTTGGTGCTTCTAACTAAAGCTGTAAGTCTGTCACAGAGGTTAAGGAATCAAAATTCCATTATGTTCTGGGCCCTCAGTGACTTCTGCAAGAGCCGCCTGAGCAGCTCAATCAGTCCCTGAGCCAGATGCATAGGCTGCTGCTGGAGTAGTCTCTGGCCACCACCTCCCAAACCCCACAGCAGCAGGAGTTGGGGGGTGAGGAGAGGGGAGTACTTAGAACTGGGGCAGAGGATTGAGGGCACAAGAGGGGGTTAAGCTCCTGGCAGTGCTTACTTTGGGAGGCTCCCAGGAAGCGGTAACATATCCTTCCATTGGCTGCTAGGCAGAGGTGTGGCCAGGTAGCTCTGTGTGCTATCTCTGCCCACAGGCACCATCACTGCAGTTCCCTTGGCCATGCTTCCACCTAGGAACATATTGCTGATTCCGGAATTTGCATGGAGCCTGAAAAACTGCTTATTTTCTAATTTTTTTGCTATGAAATTTTAGTTTGGAATGACTTTGCTAGTGCTTTTTATGCAGCCTGTGGTAAAACTAGGCAAATATCTAGATGAGTTGATGTACGCCCTAGAAGATCTCTTTGCATCCATTGGGGTTCAGGACCCCTTGTTGAGAACCACTGCCTGAGGCTGTCTCCTGTGATCATTTTCAACAGTTGTTACTCAAAGCTAATATTAATCTTCAAGATGTAAATCAATGTCTTCGGTTTCACCCTGTAAAATGATGTTCAGAAAACCTTTGTAAGCTCCAGGTGAAAAACAACGGTTGTACAATTAACAAATTTCACTTACAACTGTCTCTTTGGCAGGAGGTGGCTTGCTCTGTTGACTGGGTATCAGCACAAATGTCAGAGTGCCATGCATGTCAGCCTGTAACAAAAACAAGACTCCAGTACTCTACAGCATAAATACCTGTTTTGGTAAACAATGTTTTTTCTCAAAGTGCAATACAAACTCCAATGAAACCCAATCCCTACAATCAAATGTGTCATTAAATATCACTGTGTGGGTTAAGATTTATATTAATCCTAATATATATATATATATATCTCACACACACACACACACACACACACACACACACACACACACACACACAAAATGTGGCATAGTGGGAAAGACTAAGAACTTGATGATCTCCAGATGATGGAAGCCAAGAAAGCTTGGCTTTGCATATAAACTGCTTTCTCCATACAAGTTTAAAAGGAAAATATGGGGGAATTGGAGAGCAAGGATTACAATTCTGCCATATTGTTCTCATTGGTTAATAAGTTCGTCAATACACTGCCACAGCTTGGGGCCAGGTGAAAAGTGCCTCTCCATAGCCACTACATTTCCAATGGACTCAGCAAGGAGAGGGATGCATGTCCCCTTGCTGGGGCAGGTCTAGGTTCTTCTGCCCCGTGCTCCCCAGACAGAGCGGGGAATGCAGCAATCTGTGTACTTTCCTCTTGCTCCCCGACGAAGGGGAATAGCAACGTTCCGGTAGGAATTGGGGTGGAGGGAGGAAAGCACCAGCTCCTCTACCTTTCCTAAAGGACACCAAAGGGTTGGGAGGATTCGGGTTGGGGCCGTCCCAGATCAGGGATGGGAGGAAATGCCCCCAGCCAGCTCTTTTCACTTGCCTGGTGATGTTGTCTCTTTTCTATATGCTTTTTGAGGAAGAAATCCCATTCCAGGCACATCCTATTTTCCTGGCACAACCAAATCCTCACCTTGTTTCAGTTTAATAAAAGGATGCTGTATAACAGATTTAGTGGTCTTAGCTCTTACCGTTTAGGAGTTCTTGAACAGACAGACACATGGACAGACACAAACACTCTCAAATACATAGTAGATGTTTCTAATTATAAGTGTAAGCAGATTGCTTGCTTATACTGACATATAAATATTATATCACTAATAGGTAAAATATATAATTGTTAAACATTTATGTGGTGCTCAATCCTATTAAAAAAAAGTCAGAAAAGTCCTTGCCCTCAACAGCTGATGTATTTAAGATCTCAATCTTGTAAAGACTTAACACACATTTCAATTTATACATCACCTAGTTTCATGGATTTTAACATGTCAACTCATAGCGCTTGAAGAAAGGAAAGACACAAAATACTGGTCTTAAATCAGGTCTGGTGTGCAATGCTATCATGTTCGTCAATGCTGCTTGGAGGCAGAACCATTTAAGGCTGAGGTGAGTAATGCTGAAGAGAAAGACCATAGAGTATCCTAAGGTAGGGGAGACTGATGTACTGAGTGCTTGCACTTCTGAGAATAGAAGCCTACTGAAGATATCTGACCACTGAGATCTGGAGAATCTGAAGGACTGCTTTCTTCAGACAACCATTTTCATACCTCTTACAACACTGCTTTGTCAAACACATTCTTAATTAAAGTTAACTATTTAAAACTACTGGATATGTGGATCCAACTTTTTCCAAAATGAAGGAGTGGCACTTTAAAAGGTCTGACAGCAAATATTCTTTGCAATGGGGGTGAGATTGGAAGATCACTTACCAGCAAGTCAAAAACTTCATTTACATCTTTTCCACGAATCTCAATGCCATTAATCTCCAACACTTCATCCCCTTCGTGCAATAACCCACTTTTCTCTGCAGCTCCTCCTTTCACTATTCGGCTAATAATGACAGAATCCATTTCATTGCGTACTGTAGCACCCTATATAACGGCAAATAAGCAGAACTTCAAACAAGTATGAAATTCATAGATATATACTGCAAATATTTTCAACCCTGGCACAAAACATTCATATGCTACCAATTAAAAACATAGAACACCTCTAAAACTTTGACTTAATAGATTTTCAGTTCTTAAAAGCAGAAAGAGGAACTTTTGCTTAACAGTTATTAAATTTGAGTTGTACATTATGACAGATGAATGTTTAAACAACTTTTCCCAAATGTTTATGAAGATGATCAAAACAGGAACAGAATAAAAGTAAAAAATGCAGTTGTTAGCACAAGGATTAAAACTCAGTTTCAGCAAACATTGAGATACTACCTTCTTTAGGAAACCCTTCCTTGACTTTTCAATAGATAGACAACGGACAATGCTCTCAACTGAAGCAACTTAGGTTTCAGTATTAAAGTTAATATAGTCTCAGCCATAAATATCTGTCATTTCAGGAATATCAATTTTTATTATCGCTCAACTTTTAAATAGCATATACATTTTTAAATTTTATTTTATCAAAGACCTGCAAAAGAGGGTGGGTGGGAGTTTGTGTAATATTTCATCTATAAAGTGACAACACCTCTCAACTTTTAAAATAAGGTCTGAATACATGACAACTTCACCCACAAAGGAGTTTGGAAGAGCAAAAGTAAATTGGACAGTTCTAGGCTCATTTTCTTTCAGAACAAGGGATTTGCTGTCAGAGTAAGAATACTTACCAATGGAATATCTCGAGCCTTTTCTATGCGAACTATTTTCACAGTCTCCCCACCATACAGGCCAATGTTTTCATAGACCTTTTCATTTGTCACTGGCTCTGGCTGCATTTCTTGCTCTGCAACCTTATCATGTGCTAATAAAAGTGCCTAGTGTTAAAACAGACAATGCAGTTTAAGGAAATCATGCTGTTGATACTTACATGAAACACAACAGAAATTCATTAATTTGTACTAATTAGGATATCCATTAAAACCTAACAAATTGTGCAAATTATATGGCAAACAAATTAAAAAATCCTAAGGATGATCTATCACAATAGCATGGTTACTTAAGGTTTAATTATACTAATTTATACTGACAGTCAGATATATTCCACAGATGCAGAATTCAGATTTGCTGAGAAAGTGTGCTTCAGAATCTTAGTTTTAAAAAAGTTAACATTCTAGCTCTTATGATTAAGAACATAAGAACAGTCACACTGGGCCAGATTATCTAGCCCAGTACAGATAGTCCCCAACTTACGAATGAGTTACATACCAAGCACATGGTCGTAACTCAATGTGTTCGTAAATCGGACCCCATTCATTTAAATGGGACCAAGCTGTAAGCATGGATCGCCGTTCATAAGTCGGGGCTGCACTTAATGGGAGGTTGGTCGTAAGTGAGGCTGGTCATACATCGATGTGTTTGTAAGTCGGGGACTACCTGTATCTTCTTTTCTGATGGTGGCCAACGCCAGGTACTTCAGAGAGAATGAAAAGAATGGTAAGTCATCCCGTTACCCATTACCCATTCCCAGCTTCTGGCAAACAGGGCAGGGATGCGCTTCACAGCATGATTTTACATTCTTGCCAATCACTTATGGACCTATTCTTCATGAACTAAATTAGTTCTTTTTTGAACTCTGTCACAATCTTAGCCTCCATAACATCTTCAAAGAGTTCCAGAAGATGACTGTGCATCGTGTGAAGAAATATCTCTTTATGATTTTAAACTTGCTGCCTATTAATTTAATTTGGTGACTCCACGTTCTTATGTTATATGAGAAGTAAATAATGCTTTCTTTTAAAATCATGACTGGTGTAGAGAAAGTAGACTTCTATTGTATTCTCTGGTAGTTGTCTCTCTTCCAAGCTATAAAGTCCTAGTATTCTTAATCTCTTCTCATATGGAAGCTGTTCCATACCACCAATCATTTTTGTTTCCTTTTCTACACCTTTACCAATTCTAGTATATCCTTTTCAAGATGGGGCAACCAGATCCGCATGTAGTATTCAAAATATGGGCACATCATGGAGTTATATAGAGGCAATATACATTCTGTTAGCTTTGGACTGATGATGTACACTGATGGGAATTTTCAGAGAACTATCCATGAGTGTTCCGAGATCTCTTTCTTGAGTAGTAACAGCTAATTTAGACCACATTTTTTATATGTATAGGATCATGTGTTCAAACATGCACTACTTTGCATTTACCAACACTGAATTTCACCTTCCATTTTGTTGCTCAGTTACACAATTTTGTGAGATGATTGCAATAACCTGAAAAACAAGAACTAAATGCAAACTAATATAGTGCTGTCTTCAAGAGTTTGCTGATAGCATGAATGAATGGCTCTGAGGAGTCTCAATACTCCATCTGAGTTAACATTTTAAATCTAAAACCTGAAGATGACAACATAGTCAATCTGCATCTTACTGAACACATATGCTGATAATATACAATAAAATGATTTTGTCTCGAACAAAAACAAGGGATGCTATACTGATTATATTCATTTTCATATACAATTAAATACACCACCTCTAATTTTAACATTTGAAGCTGTCATTGTATTTTGATTATTTCCGCTGAAGCACTGCAGAATTAAATGCAGTTTTAAATGCACAGGGGCCTTTTCAGATTATGCTATTAAATACATTTTTTTTAAAACGTAGTGGGCCTCAGTATAGCAGTCCACTATTAAATCTTTGCCAAGAATTGTAGAAGAAGTGGTTTTAGTTATAAGTTGCAAGCAATGCACATTAACCACATTCTTTTGTAATGGACAACTATAAATTTCACCAGCTGTCAAGTCTTGTTTGTACAGTAATGATATACGTTGAAATTTATGCCTATGGTTTCAGACTCCCCCAGCTCCCAAATCACTTTTTGGTGGATGGGTGGAGGGAGAGAGCTGGGAAGGAAAAAGAACATTTTCCCAATAAGATCCTGCTCCAGAGCCTCCAAGCTCCAGCAGTTAGCCCAAAGGAACAACAAAGATTTCCCCAACAGCCAAATGCAGAAAAGCATAATTACACTAAGTCAGGGCCTCCTAACTCCCAATACTTCCATAACACCTCCACGCCACCAAAAGCACAAAACCTTTTTTTTTTTTAAATCCATCTGAACTCTGGACATTGTTTTGCATTTGATGAATGACTGTTCAACTTCTCCTAGCTGCTTCCTAGCATAGGTCCTCTCTGTTGCCAGCCTCACACTCCCTTTCCATATGCCCTTATCTCCCTTTTGGGCTTTGTATATATTATTAAGTACACCTGAAAACTGGTGGCACTGAATCCCAAGTGTGCATTGCATTTTAGTGTTGTGTTATTAGTAACAAAATTTTCATTTTTCCATCACGTCGAAATTTTCCATATATACTAGGAACACTCATTATTTAGCCTTAAGAAATAAATTCAAACCAGTGTTTTTAAAGTATATGCAAGAAATACATAAAACATTTTTTTAAATCTACATGGTACAGACTATGCAGTATCAGCTTTGTCTAGTTTTACCTGAATGTGAGGGGCATTCAGCAATGCACTAAGCTCCTGCCCATCTTTCTGGTGACTGGGTTTCAAAACACACTGTACCTAAAAGAGACCAAACAGTGAAAATCTGCTTTGCATAGCAAGCTAACTTAGCTCTGACTACATTAAAGTATCTTTAAAGAAAAAAATTGAATATAACTATTTTATTGAAACAAAGCAAATCCATGTATCTGTTACTCTGCCTCCATACATGTATATAAAACTCATAAGAAATAACACATTTATTAAATGAAAATACATGAACTATTCTAACATCATATCAGAACTGTTTCTCTCTACATAAACCAAGACAACTGATGGGAAATAGGCTGCCACAGGGAATGAAAGACAGATTAAGATCTGTAAAAGAAGGGCAATCTTAAAAAAATGAACACACGCCCTCAAAAAGGTAGCCTATTTATCAAATAACAGCATACCATTATAGAACTTTTTGAGGTATCCATTTGGGCGACTAATGAGTTACACAGTTCCAGATCATTAATGTATTCAACTGCTTAGACTCCTTTTCCCTAGGAGTGGAAGATGGTATCACTTTGTCCAAACTGCTGTTTCCACTGGCAACAGAAAAAATCAATGATTCCCTCAGACCCATCACAGAGTAATCAAACTTCCACAGCTAGCTCTGAAAAATCCCTGCCCTTTTCTTCTGCAACTCAGGATGTCAAAAAGCTTAAGATTACTTGGAAACACTGCCAAAAGTCTATGTAAATTTCACACCATCGGAACAACCAGGTTCTGATCTGCCATTGCTCAGAGGGAAAGATGAAGCAGTAAGGACACACTTATCTGGTGAGGAGGCGGAAGGGGATTCCTGGTCTCATCCTCCTCTGAGAACATACAAAGATATGGGTTTAGAAGCGCCGATGACCTCAGAAAAACCAGGAAAAGTGACTGAAATGTCCCTTTTTTAGGATGAAGAGCCTTCTCTCTTCCAATTTTTGGGATATTCTTTTATTCTCTAATCTTGTTGATGACTTAACAGAAGGTTATGGAATGGACATGAGCAAGCACTTGAAGATGGATGGATGTTTCTTCACGATCAAATCCATCATGAGTTGGATCTGACACCCGCTCTAAACCTAAGGAGTTTATATAAAACTAAAAAAAATTTATAATACAAAGAACTTCCTTCAATTATATAATTCTGTTTCTATAATGCTACATCTGTCAGAAATGGGGGCTGTTAGTTTGGGCAAGTTTGTTGCCCCAAATGAAGACTCACAGACATTACTATTTCAAAAAGATTTCATAGTCATAATTCCTATAGAGTGGTTTAATGAAGGCAGTGTCAGAAATTAAGTTCATCCTGCCCCCCAAGTACCATGTCTACCAACCTGGCCCATCCAGGCAGGGTTTTTTTTGTGTCCATTGTATTATTCTTAATTCATATTGGATTTCTTTTTTAAATATCTTATTAGTTCTCTAAGAGCTTTTATTATATGCATTCTGGTGAAATAATAAATTTCTCTTGTGCCGATCAGGTGTGTTGTACAATCTGTCAGATTACTATGCTATTGATGGCAGTAACTTCTACAGCGTGAACAACTGTTTAGCTGCTAGCAACGCTCCCAGAGGCGCAGCTTTTCCCTAGGAGCAGATTTGGCAAGGGCTGACAGCACTGCTCTCAATGGGGAGGCTTCAGGAGCCGCTTCCTCCGGAGTGAGGCCAGCAAGATTGCTGACCCTGATCCCTGGGAGCCACAGTATGTAATCTGTGGGAGGAGGGCTAAGCCCAGCAGGGCTGGAGCAGCCCCCTGCCCAGGATGGGTGGGGAGCTGCTACCAGTCCCTGCTAGTGAATCACAACTGGTAAGCCTCACCCGTTAAGGTTAATGAGTTTACCAGTTAACCTTTTATTTCTGTACAGGCAGTCCCCGGGTTACGTACAAGATAGGGACTGTAGGTTTGTTCTTAAATTGAATTTGTATGTAAGTCGGAACTGGTACATATTGTAGGGGAAACTCTAGCCAAACATTTCTCCAGAGCTCAGTTTTATTCTCCCACACCTCACTTCCCTCAGTCCTTTATTCTCAAGCTGAGGTGTCTGCTGAGAAAAGCCGCTCCACGTCTCCCTGGTCTGCTGGGGCCTGGTCTGCTGGGGAGGGGCCTCTAGCTTTGCATCTCCCTGGTCTGCTGGGGGGAAGCAGCAAGTGTGGGCTTGCCTCACCCCGTTTGTAAGTAGGGATCCGATGTAAGTCGGATCCATGTAACCCGGGGACTGCCTGTACTGTGAACATGCGGCAAGAGTAACTTTTTATTAGCTTCTTCATTGCAGGGGCTTAGTTTTGTAGTTAATAAATTAACATCTGTCACATTATTCTTCCACCCCATAAATTCTTCGCAAAAAATCTGTCATAATAAAATCACTCTACCAATAAAGATTTAGTCCTGTTTGTAAGATAGTAGACGAAACATCTAATTTGAGCTCAAATAGCTGCAGCAAAATTATAAATGTACATGCCACATTACAGAACACTTTTAGAGTCAACATTTCAAATGCTGAATAGTTTATAAAAAAACCAGCAACTTATCTTAACTTCCATATTAATGTAATCTTATTTAATATGGAATGTGCACATTTTTATATTAAACATGTTGTAAGTTTTCAGTTAAGCCCAATGTTGGTCTAACTTCATTGTTTACATATATTTGGTCTTGCAAAAAAAAAAAAATTAAACTTCTAAGTGCTTCAAAGATTGAAAATTCATCCCATGTAAACAGACTCAACTTGAGTTTAACTAGTCCAGCTTTAGAGAGAGTTCTTGCTAATGTGCTCTTTCAGATGGTCTTGTATGCCAAAAAATTAAAAACTGTAATGAACGCCGAATCAAATGCTGTTTCAGCATGAACATTTAAAAATGATCATGTTCTTCTAATCCTGGCCCCTATTTTTGTCAAGTTTAACTGACTTTAAAATCTATTTAATTACATTTGATGTTTAACATTTTTATTCAAGAGTCAGAGTGCATCAAATTATTTTAGGGAGTTAATCTCCACAAAAATTCCTCATGCCTGCATGCTTTACTCAGCCTTTTAATTAAATGAAAGTGTCTAAAAAGATAAATCATAAGTTTTTGCTGCCTTGCTATCAGAGTTACATATTTGTTCATGCTAACACTGCAGTTGAACTGCTAAAACTAACAATGCAATTATGTAAAATGTCCTGAAAGATAAAACCAATAATCCATTTCAACTCTTTAAGGATTGCAAATTTAATATAAAAGTGAAGACGCACTAACCAAATTTTGACAGCAATTTCAATTCACTCACAATGTCTATACAATAAGTGTGCACTCAATTGCTTAAAGAGTAATCCAAAATATGTACAATGTAGCAGATAAGCGTACCAGAGCAATCCGACTTTTTTCCATTTCCAATTTGTAATTTTAACCATGAATTAATGCAATGCACAATGGAGTGCATACTTATGCTGTTCTTCCACTCCAAAAAAAAACTATACCACTCAGAGGCTATGGAGAAAACCTTAGGGTAGGTACAGCAGTTATGAGTAATTCCTTAGTAATTAAGGATAATACATACACACGTTTTATTGTCATGGTGAACATCAAGTGAGTATTTAATTCCTTATATTGCTATTTTGCTGTTTCATCCTTTCTTATGGCTGTTATCTTCAGGATCCTGCCCCCAAAAATTGGAAAGCCAGCCTTGAAGATTTTCAGTGATCACTCTTGTGAAAATAAAGCTTTGGGATTAGGTGAGAACTCTTTTCTGAATCAACTCCAGGCCCAGGAACAAAAACATGCAGGGAAAATGAAAGACAGCTGGGCACAAACCATATAATGACCTGGCCAGAATAACTCAATTGTTCAGGTACAGAAGTGGTTCTCAGAGTGCAGTCTGCATACCACTAGTGGTCCATGGCCGCCTTGCAGGTTGGTCATGTGTTGAGGACTCAGCCCCGCACCGGCAGTAGGCAGCCCATTCTGGTACTCCGGCCTCCCAGGCACCCCCATGAGGTTGGAGCGCAAGCACTGGCTTCCCACTATAGGGGGAGCACTGAGCCTTGCTGGCTGGTGCAGTTCTCAGGGGGAGCAAGCAGCTCTTTGCACTTCCATTTCCCCTCCGCCCCAGCCCACTCCTGCACCCTTCCCCCCACCCAGACCCACCCATTTTCCAGCCTTCTCCTGCACCCTACATCCCTTCTAGACCCACCCCTCCACACCTTCAGCCCACTCCTGCACCTAGTGGGGCCAACAGCCATCATAGGCCCCAGAGCAAGGGCGGGGACAACTCTGCACCCCTGTAAGAGGCAGGGCTGAAGGCAGTCAGTCCTTAGTGCTGCTCAGACCACGGCACTGCCCTTCCCCACCCTGGTCCTTGAAGCAATGCAGAATGGCACTCCCGCGGCAGTTCAGAAGAGCTTCAGGACCCTTTGAATGGTTGGGCCTCAGTGCAACAGTCCGCTTTTCCCCTTCCCCATCAGTGGGCCTGCCTGCATCCTACTTCCTGCACAGATCTCACACAATCTCTCTCTCCCCCCTCCCCCCACCCAAACCCATTCTGTCATCATGGGTGATTGGCTGGTAGTCCAAGGAAAGGTTTGTGTTGAGCAGGATGGGCTGCAGGCCAAAAAATTTGAGAACCACTGAGGTACAGAATCAAACAAATTCTCCTTCCTGGTGTCTGCTCTTTGTCTCTACCATTATATTTATGGAAGTCCAGGGAAGACAAGCCATCGTGAAAGAGAAACTATCAGAAAGTGAAGAAGTCCTCCTGTCAGTCTGAGGATGTTTTAACAAGACAGCTATCAATACTTTCTAAAGGAGTCATTTAAAACAACTAGGCTATGTCAGATATGGAAACATCTTAAATTTCTGATCCAGCTATTTCAGCTCCAGATACAGGTACCCCGTCACCTTCATCACTGCTTAATACATTCTGAATCACTAAATATCTTGTACATCCCCTCTGTGTTGTTTATCTGTGGCAAGACAGTGGTGAAGGGCATACAGAATATTTTCAATATTCTGGAGCTCCAAGGACAGAGAGGAAAAAACAAGATGAGCACATTGGTGTTTCAGAATTCTGTGAAGTAGGCCTTCTTAGTGATGACTAAGCCCAGAAGTCTCAAATAATTTTGTTCTTTAGGGTTGAAAGAAGATTTCTGATCTATACCAGCAGTCAAAGGACAGAGGGAAAGAATTAGAATTAGGGATTGGCTTTATCAAGTTTCTTCTTGTCCTTGAAGCTTTCCAGTTGGACTTAAAGAGGGAAGGAGGGAAACCTGAGAATGGCTCTATGAAGAACAGATGAGCCTATACTTGACAGTTATTTTCCTGTATTAAGAGGGCACTGTGACTCCCCCATTAAAGATGTGGATGAGGGTTTCGGCTTGCAGGACAGTAAAACAATATTTTGAAAGGAGTTTTTCTTCCCAGAAACTTAAATAAAGTCTGAATAAAGAATATCTCCAGTCTGGACTCCCTGAAGGGAAGAATACGAAGGCTGATTTCCTGCCTACAGATAAATCCACAGGCCCCTGCATCTCATCACTGAGGTGTACAAAATACTGGCTTCCATGCACCTGCTTAGTTGTTCTACAATTAATACTTAGAAGAGGTCCCCAAATTCAGGCACCTTTTCCACTTTCTTTTTTAAAATGGTGTTCAGACCATCTTCTAGCACTGCTTCTCTCACAGCTCAGGAAGATGAGGCCTATATTGTGGTGCTTATGGATAAAGCATAAGGCGTATTAAGCTTTCCTCAACAAGCCAGCCTTTTACAGAGAAGGGGGGAGAGACTGAATGCCAAAGTTTCCTGCACCTAGTTATCAGGCTGTGAAGAGACAGATATCAAAGGAGGGAGAATAAACCAACATCCATTATGTAAAGTTAAGTCAAACAAAGTTAGGCTGAGGAAGAGAGAAAATCACCAATGCTAGCTACAGACAATAATTTAAACATTGTATTAAATTATTTGTGAACTCCCCCCCAATTTCCAATATTCTTCCTCAAACTCTCAAAAAATGCAAAAGGAAAAAATGCAAGTCATTCATCTGTAGCCAAGAGGGAAAGATTTACACAAAAAGGTTGCAGTTAACTATGGGTACATCTACATTACACGGAGGTATCCAAAAATAGCAACCCCGCATCTACACAAGCCACCAGTTATTTCAAAATATTTTTTTTAAACAGGCGCACTATTTTGCCATCCTAGTAAACCTCGTTTCACGAGGGTTAAGGGATGGCTCGAAATAGCACATTATTTAAAAAATTGGTGCTGTGTAGATGCGCCAAATTTCAAAATAAGCTATTTTAAATCTTTCTAAATAAGATGCGCAAATTGCATATCTTATTTCGAGTTTACGCGCTGTGTAGAAGCACCCTTTATTGACAGGGGGGAAAAGAAAAAGAAACCTAATGAAAATCTGTAATTTTCCAGTCTGCTGGGTCTATTTGACCTTTAACAAATCCTGCTAGCAGAGAACTGAATTAAAAGTCATCCCAAGGTCCCTTCCCTACAATTCTATGATTACATAATTTCTAAAACTAGGAAAGTTCTCAAATTAGACTCCTGTTCATGTGCAATCTGAGAATCATTTTAAAAATCCAAAAGCAATATCAGATGCTCACTTGCTCCTAAATGGTACGACAGTGAAAATGGTCATTGAGATACACTGCTCTCAAATTTACTCTAAATTTGTTCAAATTTCTTCTGTATATTTACTCTACTGTGATTTGAATTGGAAGTTTGGTGCACTCAATTGCAGTTTTCACTTATTGGCTAAATACAAATTTTTCCAGTCTGTTGGTCCTGATAGACAAATCCCACTAGGAAAAAATCATTTTTTCTTAACAAGACCCCTTAATGACCTTAAAATTATTTTATTAATGCAAGGACTTCTAACAAATGAATGTAATATATTCTAGTCTCTCAAAGCACAATAAATTCAATCTTGCTTATTTTGTACAGCATTTCCACCAATACTGGAAAATAAAAGCTATGAAAAATTCTCCCATTACTATAGCACCCTTCTTTTCATTGCACTTAAATGTGGTAATATTCTGCACTTAAGTACAGTACTTTTTGCTGTTAGTTTTTTATAGTAAGAAAATTTGTGTTATTATCCCAAAGATACTTAATTCTGGAAAAAGTGGATGCAGTAATCAGTGACTATTCATATATTAAGATCCATTTTATTTCAACATTTGATTATTGAGAGCTCAGTGAAGCTTGACATACATAGATAAAGCTGAATATATTTCCAATGAAACAGGCTAATTCAGGGGTGGGCAATAATTTTTGTAGGGGAGCCACTCCATGAATTTTCAAAAGTTATCACAGGTTGCACATTTCTATTATATTAATGGAGGGAGTTGGGAGTCTGGGATGAAGTTTGTTGGATGCAGGCAGATTCTTACCTGAGGCAAAGGGTAGGGTGCACGAGGGGGTGTGAGGTGCAGGCTCTGATTGGGAAGTGTTTACCACAGATGGCTCCCAGTTAGTGGTGCAGAGGGACACTCAGTCAGCCCGCCTCCCCACCCATGGCCCCACGCTGCTCCCAAAAATGGCCAACTGCTGCTGGCATGTCTCTGCATGCCTGTTGGGAAGAATGGGAGAATGTGTTTCCATGTGCTGCGTGTGCCTGTGAACACTGCTACCCGCAGCTGCCATTGGTCAGTTTTAATCCTTTGGGAGCTGTGAGGACAGTGATGGGGTAGGGGCAGCATTTGGAGCTGTCTTCAACCTCCATCATGAGAGCACAGACATCCCAGTAGCAGCTGGCCTCTTCCAGGAGTGATGTGGTGCCACACCAGGGAGCTTGCTTGGGCACCCCACTGAACCACTGGACTTTTAGTGGCTCAGAGAGTCGTGATGGACTCAACAAGTTTGTTAAACAGGCCAGATCTGGCCCATGGGCCATATTTTGCCCACCCCTAATTACAAGTTACAAAACATATCATGGAGATGTAGACTTTACATACCTCTTGTGCTAGCTCTTGTGCATTGGAGATAAGAGGATATGGAGGGCTGGCTTTGTTCATGTGCACTGTGACAGCATTGTGTATCTTAAATGCATTCTGAAAATCAGTATTTTGGACAAGCTGCAAAATGAGTGCGATATCTTCTTGGCTCTGAGGGTCTACCAAAGTATGTTGGATATGCTTAAGAGAAGCTAACAGCTCTTCCACTTCTGGGCAGAGAAAAAAATGTGAGAATTAGATTAAACTTATTATTATGTTATGCACATTTTAAACTTCTAAGATTTGTAGGAAAGACAGCAGTTCAACCTTGACTGAATGAGCAATGATGCAAGCAAAACTGTTCGTTTAGTCCACTAACAATAAACCTCACACTGAGGAGCAGAACATAAAAAAAATTTATATTTTTATATA